TCTTCCATGCTCATGGCGTATCAAGCGGAGCTGTAGAAGAAGATGACCGCCTCATCGGATGCTGCTTTGCAGGACAAAGTCTGCAACATCATGGACCACTGTGTCCAGCTGCACAAAGTGGCAAGTGGTTAAATCTCACCACTCTTTCCACAAAAGAAAAAGAGGACCTCTTCGAGTCGACACTCCCATCACCCCGCAGGGTCTGTTCGGCTCCATGTCACCTCAATGAAAAAGTTGCGGGAGGAGAAGAAAAGAGACGATGAAGCTCTGAAGCTGTGTCTCCTCAGATGCGTGTTCGCCTCCATCACCACAGCACCAAACCTTCACTCAGGCAGTGGCATGCTTGCCCTCCACCTTTAGATTCCAAAATTGTCAAAAGGTGCAGGGAGCCCCACAGGCGCTACAAATACCCTCCTGAAGGCCCCCACTCCGACCAATCGCCATGCACCTCCACTCAGGTGATCAGGAGGATGGGGAGGTATCTGCGAAGGGAAAACAGTGAATGGGTCTTAAAGCCCAAAAATGCAGTAATCCCATCTGGAGCTGCTAGCCATTCAGCTAACATTTAAACACTTCCTTCCCCTCCTAGAAAGACACCATGTGTTGATCAGAACAGACAACACCACTGTGGTAGCTAATATCAAGAGGCAGGGGGGGCTAATATCACTGAGGATTCAGACACTGGCCCAAAAACTGATCATCTGGAGCAGCAGACATTTCCTGTCTCTGAGGGCCACTCATGTTCCTGGAGTGCTGAACTGTGGAGCAGATCTTCTCTCCAAGGTGAACCCCCTGTACGCAGAGTGGAAACTCCATCCAGATGTGGTCAGGCTGGTCTGGCAGAGGTTCGGAAAACCATCAGTGGACCTTTTTGCCTCATAAGGGAACAATCGGTGTCCCCTGTTCTTCTCCCTGCACAGCCAGAATGCACCACTGTGGGGTGGATGCACATGTCCACAAGTGGCCTCGGGGTCCTGCTTTATGCTTTCCCTCCTATAGCTCTCAACTCACCAACATTAGCCAGGTTACGGTCAGAGGGCCTGTCAATGATTCTCATTGCACCTCACTGGCCATCAAAACACTGGTTAGCAGAGACAGCTCAGCTCCTCTGGGAGGAGCTTTGGCCTCTGCCTGCATGCAAAGACCTGCTGTCTCAGGTGCAGGGACAAATCTTTCACCCCCACCCAGAAAGGCTGGCTCTGTGGGCTTGGCTAGGACATCTGCAACAAGATCTCTATGAGTGCAAATGGCCTGTTTTTGAGAAATGGTGCTCTGACGTTCAGGAGATTCCCTTTCAGTGTTCTGTAGCTGTCATTTTGTCTTTCTTAATATCAAAGTTTATTTGGAAGATATTCCAGCCTGCCACATATGCTTCAAGGGTAAAAACATCATGCCAACATCCTTTAGTAGGTCGGTTTATGAAGGGGGCTCGCAGAAAATTCCCCGTCTCAAAACCTATGACCCCTACAGGGGACCTTCCTCTGGTACTGGAGGCTCTCACCACTTCACCCTTTGAGCTTCTGGATCAGGTGGAATTAAAGTTGGTAGCACTGAAAGCTGTGCGTTTGCTGGCGGTTGTTTCTACTTAACGAAATTTATGCTTTATCAGTGCACTCATCTTGCACAAAATTCTCTCTGGACAAGACTAAGGTGACCCTGCTCCCAAACCCTGCTTTTGAGCCTAAGGTGTTGGGTCCTTACTCTCCTACTGAGTTAGAAGCTTTCAGTCCTCCTCCGTTCTCCCCTGAGGAGCAGGAGAGGTTACATAAACTCTGCCCAGTACGTGCTTTATGTATCTACATGGGTAGGACAAAACATGCCAGAAAAAGTGACCAATTGTTTGTCTCTTGGCCTAAAAATCAGTGCGGGAAACCAGTAACAAAACAGCGGTTTTCCCACTGGATCGCGGGTGCGATTGCCTTAGCATATAGTTCAAATGGGCTGCAGCCTCCTGAGGGCCTGCGTGCCCATTCCACCAGGTGCTTGAGCTCTTCATGGGCTCAGCTTAAAGGCACAGTGTGTAGGATTTTGTCAATTCTTTTAGCCGAAATTGAGATATTTACTAATGACAATAATAAAAAACACGTCTAATCATTGCAGACAAAGACCTTGTTTCATTATTTTACCTTATAAAAATCTGTTTATATCTCCATGGTCGTGGGTCGCCACTACAGGCAGTCGCCATCTTGCACCGCCATCTTGTCTATGAAGGCTCATGAAGGACAAACTGCGGTGGCGGCATCAAAAAACTTAATAATCTTACCACTTGAAGCATCACTAGACCTGAAGCTGCTGGTAGACATCGCAGTTGGAATTATCAAAGGTTTTTGACACCTGAGAGATACCATAGCAACTCCTTTGCGTTTGGAAGCGGGGGGTGGGGGTGGGGGGAGGACCAGGGAGGATGATTCAACCACTCAACCACTAGATGTCGCTGAAAACAACAAATCCTACACACTGTGCCTTTAAAGGGGTGTCCCTTCAGGAAACACATACGCTCGGTTTTACAAACTTGATGTCACAGCACCATCACAGGCTCATTCAGATCTCAGTGTAGCACTAAGCGCACAGGAGAAGTAATGCTCTGATCAGCTGGCTTGTAACGTGAAGTCTGCTGAGCTATACGGGAGTCAGTATATTTTCATTTTTAATGTGAGACATGAAATAAATGCTATGAAAAATAACTTTACCTTACTGTCATAACCTCGGTTCTCTGAGCGGCAGAAGCGAGTGTCTCACCAAGTCACTCCCCTTGCTCTAACACTGCGAGGAAGAGGTGATCATTTTTGAATAACCTGTCAGTGCAGGAACAGCCTTATATATAGGGGGAGGGTCTCGGCCCTCCTTGACAAGTGGGGTCTCTGCGGACGAGGGGGCGTGTCACAAGGAAAGGCAATTCTAAAGCGACACACCTGATTTGACGAACTTTGTTAAGGGCTCGACACACGGGAGGCGACGTCGCTCGCTCTCCATTCATTCCATTCATTTCCTATGGAGCCTGTGCGGTGAGGCGACAATCGCTTGCCCTCCTCCAGCTAAGCGACCGGCGAAAATAGTGCATGTGAAATTTCGCGCTCGTACACGTAGACGTGCACACGCGAGCTTGCGACGCGACATATGAAAGTTGAAAAATATTCAAAATTTGTCGTTGTCGCTTAGCGTACAACCAATCAGCGAGTGTTTCATTGACTGACCAATGAGAGGAGAGTATGCTACACACTGCAGTTAGCTAACAGTTTCACCAAGTGATTACTAAAAAGCTTTGTGGGAATTTATTGGCACCAGGGTGAAGTTTATGGTAAGTTTTTCCTCATAAAACTGTATCTTGATGTGTGTTTGTTTTTCAATATCATTAGCATCACAAGATTTGTTTAGTTTACACGTCCGTAATGCATACTCGCCTTCAGAGTCAAGAACCAATCAAATTTTGTGAAGACAAGCAACCTGAGAGCGCGATTCGCAACGCTGCAATCGCTATCGCGTCCTGTGTGTTGGGTTTCACCCTGGCTGCGATGACAGCCGTTAATCGTTGTAGTTTGTCGCTGCCCGTGTGTCGAGCCCTTTAAAGGGACATACCTGATTGGACAAGAAAAAAGGGGCGTTACTGTATGGCACCACTTTTTCTGGAGAACCCTACTTGGGTCACATTCTTCCTGGTTAACCTTAGTGTAGGGGTCAGCGTCATGTAGGCCTCTTAGCCTACAGTGTTTATGCTTTTGACATGCCCACTCTTGTGACACGCCTCACTTTGATTCAGCAGATAACCCCTTCTTCTCTTTGACAAGGACAGGCTGATTTCCAGTCAATCCTGGCAGGTGTAATGTAATATGAGCTTCTCGAGATCACACCGAGGGCGTTCCCAGTGCAAGACTCATGCTACTCAGAGAACTGGGGTTATGACAGTAACCTAAAGTTTCAAAGCAATTAAGCTACAATCTATGTTGTGGTCGCAAAAGCAGAAACACGTTGGAATAATACGAGAAGAGTCTGCGTATATGATAATCAAAATATGATTTAATTATGAGCAACAAACAAACAGAACCGAATCAGGAAGTTCTGCATGCTTGCGACMGAACGCGTCAGCAGAATACAGCCAATAATATACATCGTGTCAACACCATGTGACAGTTTACAACCAATCACAGATTGCCAAATGTACTGTCCAGCCTATCACAAGACTCACACCCAAAGAGTCTGTTAGAGTTCAGTCCCTTGTGGAGTCGTCCAGAGCTATCAGAAAGATAAGAGTGATGGACAGTGTCAAGGGTAAACAGATATAAATAATTAGACCATGACATATGTGAAGCTAAGCTTATCTGAGCGTTGACCTAAGCACATTTTATGACATCTTTGCTCAGAGCCTCAACGTTTACTTAAAGAGTCAAACTTGTTTGTTAGCAAAATATCTCGTAAAATACTGAACAGATTTCAATGAAACTCTAAGAAAGTATTTCTTGGCTACAACTCGTTAACTTTTAGAGATAATCCAATTCAAGATGGCCGCCACAGCTAGACTTTAGCTCCACAAAATTGGCAATGCAATTTAAAGGTACAGTATGCGGTAGTAACTGAGAGTGCTTCATAATATACACTGCAAGGTCACGCGAAATATCACAATATCGCAGGAGATGGAGCATAAAGTTATGTTCAAGGATGGACACAGATAAGTCATCATTTCTCGACATGAAAGTCAGCGGGTGATATGCATTTCATCTATGAACACTAGGCTTTTAATGGCATTCCTTACCACCTACAGAGCCGCGGCTTGTTTAATAATAACCAGAACAACCAGCAGCATTCCCACACGTCTCCCCGGAGGAATTAAACGAATTGCCCGGCTTTAGTGTACGGCCAGGCGGTTGCCACAGCAGATTTACTCAGGCGCGTCCACGCACACTGGCCGTCCACAGGCCACGCGAGCCTGTTCTGGACAGAAAGGGGCTCGAGGGAGCTGCTACGAAACGAAACGCCCCTCATCCCTGCTGAACCTAAAACCTCACCTGGAGTCTTCGCTGCCAATCCTTCCTCGATCCAAAGAGAGCAGGGCGTGGTTACAGAAAATCCGTTTGATGCGCCGCGGACGACGTCGACCGGAATGCCGTAGCGCGTGAAGCTTCCATGGAGAGAGGCGTTCAGTCGGCGACAGACGATGGAGAAGCCGAGAAGAGAGGGAGAACGGTCCGAGAGAGACGAGCCCCCATTTCTCCTCCTGCCTTTCACCTCAGCATCATTACTGCTCGCTGCGGATCCGTGACGTGCCGGGGCTCCGTGGTGGTCACCGGGCTTCCTGCGCGCGCGGCCCCGATCCGATCGCCCCTCGCAACAGCTCGGTCGCGCGCCGGGGGTAGACGTTTTTAAAAACACAGATAGCTCGCTGGAGGTTCACGGTTCTACGCACGCGCAGTGGACCGCCATTATTTGTTTGGACAGCGATAACGTTGTGATAAATGACAAAATGTATCGTTTAAAAAGCGCAAATGTTTTGGGAAAAGGAAATATGGAAGCCCATTTCTGCCTTTTTTATTAATAATAATAAAAAAAAAAACAAAATGATACTACTATCTCAAAATTATGACTCATAGGTGACTGTTATTTATTTTGTATCTGACCTTTACCAGATGAAATGTTTGAGATACATTTCTCATTTACAAACATGATCTGGATGAATTATGACATGTATGTCACATTAAATGGATAGTAAGTCGTATTTTCAGACAATATCTCATAATAATGAAATGCTGTGAGGTACTATAACATAATTAGATACTAAAACAAAATATTTATACATAGTATCTAAAATTGCTAAGTTATAATAGATGTTACTTCCTATTTTTTATATAATTATAAATTAAAAGTGAGATTATAAGTGACACAGTATCACAGAATTGTGAATGAGATATTTTTTTCATCAGCTGGCGAAAATGGCTTACAATAAAAAAAAAGTCAAGTCACCTCACCAGCAAATGAGACCAGTTTTAATTGGAACACAACTGCAAAAAAATAAAATAAAATAAAATAAAAAACATAACAAGGACCACAAGGGGGAGACATTACCTTAAATACTACAAATAATAACATCAGAAGTAAAACGTCAAAGGGGTAGGTTTCTGTTATGGCAATATTTYTTTAACAAAGACAGAAATACGTGGTCCAAGAATGAAGGTACTCCGTGAGATGATCAGCTGAGATTTATTGCAACAACAGGAAACAAGAGATCATCCTGCCATGTCTCTGTGCCTCTGCTTCTCTCTGTCACTCCACTCTATCCACTGTCCACTGTCTCTCCACTCGAGAGGCCTCATATATATGTATATTAACAAACACCATTATATCATCTTAGCAAGATTTGATACAAGGTCAATGGAAAACACAAAGATAAACACAAGTGATATCTAAGAATGATTGTTGTTAACAAATCTTGTTCTGACTTTAATCACTCTATCTGCAGATGAACAGCATGTCATGAAAATCTAGGTCATTAAAGGATGTCATGCATTACTGGCTTAAACCTAAAAGTATTAGCTCCATTACATCTCCCCCATCTGATCATTAAATCACCAGTTAAATGATCGATAAAACAAAAAAAAAACTCTTTAATGTATTTTTTAAAAAAACATGTCAACACAAACCTAAGTATATGTACTTTTCTGAAATKCCAACCCCAGTAATTCAATTTTTATTCCTCCCACAGTAATCACTAACCCCAAAACATAGTTATCACACAAAAGTCTTTGGATCGTCTTGAACACAAACAGGATTGTCTGTTTTGATGTGTGGAAGGGTCAGAGGTGGTGGTGGTGCTCTGCGACTTTTTGTAAATCTTGTTTTAGTTCCTGGGGCTGGAAATGGAGGGTTATGTGGATTTGGGCATGGCGTTTGTTTGATATTAATCTTGCCAGGTTATTTCATGTTAGTAAAATCCAGGAGGGGGCATTCCACTTGCTGTCCTGTTGGGGTCTCAGAGTCCAAGAGATCCTCTGTTTGTGATGCTGATGAATCCAGTTGTTCTTCCAGTTCAGCAGTTTGAAGTAACTCTCCTCTCTGTGGTTCTGGTTCAGCCACTTGCACGTTGTTTTCCATTGGTYTCTCAGTTTGCACCTGTTGTCCTTCAGCCTCAGAAGTCAGCTGATCACTCTCCTGTCATTTGGTTCCAACCGGAACTTGGTTCAGGTTAGCAAGATTTGATACAAGGTCAACGGAAAACAGAAAGATAAACACAAGTGATATTTAAGAATGACTGTTGTTATCAAATCTTGTTCTGACTTTAATCATTCTATCTGCAAATGAACAGCATGTCATGAAAATCTAGGTCATTACAGGATGTCATGCATTACTGGCTTAAACCTAAAAGTATCAGTTCCATTGCAGTTTCAAATTAGTCTGTAATTTTACCAAATGATATACTATAAAATTGTTTTTGATTAAAAAAACACCCTTAACATTAAAAAACTAATGATTGTGTCCTATATAAACAATAATCTAATATCTTACCCAAGTTTTCCTCTCTGGGTCACTGGTGCTCATATCCAGCAGTGAGAGGTGGGCTACGCTCTGAAAAGATCACAAAACCATTGCCAGACCACATAGAGACAAATGAGACAAATAATATTTCATACACACTCACACTATAGACAATTAAAACTTACCATTTAACATAGAAAACCAGAGTACCCAGAGAAAACCCACACATGCACAGAGAGAACACACAAACTCCACCCAGAAATGTCCCAGGCTGGGATTTGATCAAGCAAATTTCTCACTCAGAGGCCAACAGCTCTATCAACTGAGCCACACGGACAGAGGCAGTAATGATGGCAGCACAAGCACAATAGAGGCTGGGGTCTTCCATACCAGACAGGAAGATAATATACCCCTGAGACAGTCCAGCATGATAGCAGTATGTAAGATGCAGACAGACAACACAGACATGGAACACCATGACCAACTGGCTGGAATAGTGTACAGGAATATTTGTGTGATACTGTGGGACTGTCAGATGCAGACTGACAAACAGGTGATGGCTAACCAACTGGACAAGCCAGAAGAATACCAAGGGCTGCAAAAAGGAAATAGCAGTATGTAAGACGAGTCAAGGCCTCAGTGGGATCATGGGAGCTGTGACCCCCAAACTGGAAGTTACTCCAGCAGATCCTGGGAACCACATCAGAGATCTATGTTCAGAAGAATGCAGTTCTAGGAACAGCTAAGTTACTGTACCAAACCTTCAGGCTCACAGGCCTCTGGTATAGGACCTGAGATTAAAGAGAAATAAAACCGCAGTTGTGGAAAAATGGTTGTCTTTGTAGAGCAAAAAACATTTATCATTGTTACTGTTATGATTTTTGTCTGTGTTAAGTGTTTTTATTTTTAGTTTCTGTCATGCTCCTGTTTCTTCCTCATGTCTGTCCAGCTGCCCCTTATTTGTCTGATTAGTCACCCTCATGTTTCTCCTCAGGTGTTTTCTGTTTAGTAATTATTGTCAGTGTATTTAACCCCTGTCCTGTCTCAGTCTGTTGTCGGATCATTGTGCTGTCTACCTGGTCGTGTCCTGCTTCATGTTCTTCGTCTAATTCCAAGTCTAGTGAGTTTTTGCTGTATTATCAGCCTSCTRGKGTTTTTTCATTAAAGGCCTTGTGCTTTTTGATTTTTGAAACCTGCCTGCCTGCAATTGGGTTCACCCTGCCTCCAAGTCGTATCAGTTACTTTGAACTGTTCAGATTAGTATTTGCGGGAGATCGACTGGCGGATTGGTGCTGTGTCTGCAGTGATGCGGGCGCTGTACCGGTCTGTCCTGGTGAAGCGAGAGCTGAGCCAGAAGGCAAAGCTCTCAATTTACCAGTCTGTCTAGGTTCCTACCCATTTGGTCACGAACTTTGGGTAGTGACCGAAAGAACGAGATCGCGGATAGAAGCGGCTGAAATTAATTTCCTTCGCAGGGTGACTGGGCTTTCCCTTAAAGAGAGGGTGAGAAGCTCAGTCATCAGGGAGGGACTCAGAGTAGAGCCGCTGCTCCTCCACATCGAGAGGAGCCAGTTGAGGTGTTCCAGGCATGTCCCACTGGGAGGAGGCCCAGAGGAAGACCCAGGACACGATGGAGGGACTATGTCTCTTGGCTGGGCTGGGAACGCCTTGGGATTCCCCTGGATGAGCTGGCCCAAGTGGCTGGGGAGAGGGAAGTCTGGGTCTCTCTGCTTGGGCTGCTGGCCTCGCGACCCGACTCCGGATAAGTGGCAGAAAATGGACAGACAGATGGATTAGCATTAGGATCATTTTTAAATTACTTTCTGATATTATATGAATATTATCATTTGTCAAGGTTATCTAAGCAGAATAAGATGGAAAACAGTCACGGATGTTATTATTGCTTATTTATGTCCTGTCTCCAAGTTGCTGTTGGAGAAATTTCTTGCCAAAGTTATATTGTGAATTAAATCTCCGCTCTGGCGCCTCCCTGGCCTTATCTGAGGTCATGGATGAAAGCCAGCTTATGCTGGTTCTTCTCATGCGAGAGGGAGGTTTCAGGTTCTGACTTTGTTTTCCAGATTCTGACTTATTAGCCAAAATGGGACAACTCTGGGACACAACAAGAGTTTTTCAAATGCTTGGTGTAGCACCAAATTCTGGACCCTGTATACTCTTGATGTCAGTGGACCTCTATCCATGCCAGTGCACGAGGTGCATAAGTAAAAAAATTAAAAAGAGGGGGTATTCTTTAAAAAAAAGAAGCATAAATAGGGTTTTAAGCTAAACTCAAATCAGATTATATTGGTGAGTGGTTCTTTCATTCACCAGCTGAACCGATGCAAATAGCCTACCTGTGTTCAAAAACCAGGGGTGGCACACCAAATCTAATATAACACAATTTTTATGATGTGTTTGTAAAAATAACAAATTGAAAACTATAGCAATATAAAGCTATGGATTTGCCAACAGATGTTCACTTTGAATTTTCACAGATAATATCACTGATTTTATGACATTCAGAGACAAAAAAACAAGAGCAAATATTTGTAATGTTGGGGGAACCCACTGGTGGGGGGTCTGGGGGTCCTCCCCCAGAAAATTTTTAAATAAGTAAATGCCATTTCCTGATTTCTGGTGTATTTTAACAGGTTGTTAAACAGACTTTTACCTACATAGGAAAACATTCAGTGTGAGTATTCTATAGGTAAAATGAAATAAATTTATTTGTTAAGCAAGAGAAATAACACTGGATGACCTAATTAATGTTTTATGGTAAATGTGGGAGTTTAAATTAATTTAATTTTAAATTTGATGGGGACAGTTCCCTTCAAAAATGATTGTCGTTTTATTTAAAAATGTTAAAAATATATATTTTAAAGACATTTACAAGGATCAAGCTTTTTAAAATTGAAAGACACCACCTCTTCTATGTATGTTAAAACTTTTATTTGCTTGTTGATGTTTACTTTAGTGAAGAAAACTGTGATTATAAAACCTCAAAACTGGAAATGAAGACTAAAAAAAGCACACTTACAAACTACATCAACTGTAGAGTTATCCCAAATTATTAAGTTATTTGCTTTTTATGTCATATAATAAATATGATTTTGGTCTGTGAGAGAAAACTGGAGTATCTGGAGAACAGAAAGTTGATCTGGCAAACTTCTTCCTTATATGTTGCTCTACCAACTGTGCCACTGTACTGCCTAATTTTTTATTTTTTGTATAATTATTAAAATTATTTATTTAATATTTGATTAAAATATGTCTATGAATATAAACTCCTGAGAACTTCCATCTTTATTTAAGAACATTGGTTTTAGACTGGTCTGGTTGTCCTTATTCAGAGGAGCTACATTTAAATTTTAATTTAATTTTTTAATTTTAAATAAATTATAAATTATTGTTTTTAACTATTAATTGTTAAATAAATCAATGTTTGTTCTTATATTTATGAAGTTCTATTCCTAAATAGGTAGGGGAAGTGAAAAAGGAAAAACCTGGGT